AGAAACTTGATATATCCCTCAACCCCATACTTTAACTGTATAATAAAGTCCACGTTATCCTTTCACAGTGGTAATACTTCAATAAATGTTTTATCTATAGACACTTGCCAAATCACCACAGAAATACTTGCATAAGAAGAAGAAATTCCGCTAATATTTGGGTTGTTATATTGGAGGAGTGCCTGGACTGCATATACATATACATCAACAATCTTACATAATCTTTGGGATAGTGACATGCTCAGCAGTTACTTAGCAAACTCCCCGGTGTCGGCCATCAATAAGGGTTAGAATTTTAAAATTGTCCTCTCCCCCAAATAGCAAGATATAAATATCAGGTGAGTCATTTCTAAAAAAAAAATCGAAATGCATTACATCCTTTTTTTTCTTCTTGTTTTTATTTGTCTTTGTTGGCAGTTATTTAGCGTCTGTGTAATATAATGGCCGATTCATGGACGGTTGGACCACTTCTATAAGTATGCCATGTGTATATACCTGGGACGACTTGAAGTTTAATGGCTATTTTACTGCAGACAGATGAGACAAAAGTACAATTTCACAAGGAAGAACTGGTAAAAAGTGAACATCCATGTTTATCTGAATAAAATATCCTTGTCGAGTTACTGTATGCAATATGTCTGACTATATCTGTCGTACGGCCACTGAACTAAGGTTAACATTGGCGTTATATCTAAGTGTCTACTCTTATTGGCGCTATAACTAGGTTTCTAAGTTCATTGGCGTTATAACTAAGTTCATTGGCGTTAAAACTAAGTTTCTAAGTTCATTGGCGCTATTACTAAGTTTCTAAATTCATTGGCGTTATAACAAAGTGTATATGTTCATTGGCGTTATAACAAAGTTTCTATGTTCATAGGCGTTATAACAAAGTTTTTATGACCATTGGCGTTATAACTTAGTTTCCATGACCATTGGTGCTATAACTAAGTTTCTAAGTTCATAGGCGTTATAACAAAGTTTTAATGTCCATTGGCATTATAACTTAGTTTACATGACCATTGACGTTATAACAAAGTTGTTATGCTCATTTGCGTTGTAAGTAAGATTTATTATCATTGCCGTTTTACATTTGTACGTAAAGTTTCTTTGACCATTGGCGTTGTATTTAAGTTTCTATGTTCATTGTCGTTTCTATGATCTCTATATCGATAGACATCTAACTAAGGTTATGCGTCTTTCATTATTAGGGATAATAATACCACTCTGGAAATAAACCTTCTGTGAAAATCAAATTGAATAATCGCTTTAACAAAGGCGCAAAACATTCATACAGTAGGTTTTCTTGATGAACATGGAGACTTATTCCACTTGGTCGTTTTTACGGCATTTAAAATGTCCTTTTTTCCCGTGATTTCGTTTTCTAGGTCATGAAATATACATCCATTAGAATCGTAGTCCTTATCGTCAGAATCAATCAAATCAAACACCAAACATATTCATCAAATGACACTAAATATTTTTTACGGAAACAAAACGTGGCAACTTTTGCGTTTGTTTAATGATCGGTAAAACTTGTACCTTGTTAACATATATTTAGCGTCCAACAAAAACGCTTCTGTTTTTAGGAGTACGTAAAAAATTGAAGTCACCAAGCCTTTTCACAGAAATTCAACTGGTGCATGATTGGACCATACCCGAATTCGATCTACATAATTCAATAAATGGTACTATGGTACTATACTATGATATGTGTTTCAGATAACAGGTGAATGGAACGGCCTCATCCGGGCCCTTCTAGACCGGCAGGCCGACATGGTACTCACCGCACTCCAGATGACACCCAAACGGAACCAGCTGATCGAGTTCTCTATGCCTTACCTGGAGACTGGTACAACAATCGTCGTGTCCCTTCGGAAGGGCGCCATCTCTCCTACCGCCGTCCTAGGTAAAACTCCAGTTTTGTTTTCTTTTATTTATTTTTCGGAGAACATCAGTTGTCTTACTTTCATACTATAAAAAGGTTTATCCCCATTCAATATGGCGCCATCTTTTCGAACATCGTCTCGTGCGATACCCAGCCGTGTCCTTTATGACGGGCAGTTCACGAATCATCATTTTAAGTAAGATGACATATGTCTCTATCGAAGGGCGTCATTCCCAGTCATGTCCTTCTGAAGGACATAACGGCAACCACCACCGTCTAGGTAAACCAATCTCATGACCGTCTGAAAGGTCGCTGTCTCTCCAAATGACGCCTTCGGCAGGCCAAAATCAAGTTTCATCTGAAGGCTGACATCTCGCCCACTGCAGTGCTTCTTCTTATATCCCATAAACACATAAAACGTTCACTATTAAAAAAGAAGATTTTTGTTCAGTTATATAAAATGCATTAGGAATGCCAAGAATTCAATTTGATATGTTTTTCAAGATTTCCCGTTAGGTTATTGAGGGATACGTCACCCATATTATTTTAAGACTTCCCCATAGAGACAGAAACATTTTGGAAATATCAAAATAACTATTTAAAATATATACGGAAGGAATTACTAAATTTGAAAACAGCCCAAATAATAGTGAAATGAGAAAGGAATACAGACCCTTAAACGATAACCAATTATATCGCCCATTGCTAAAGGTTAAACGGCCAAAAAGGGGCAGTAACTCCAATGAAAAATAAAATACATGTACAATAATTATGTATCTTTGACATGACAAAAGCGCCATGTTAAGTGTTAAGTATAGCATACTAAGGACACCTTCCGAACACACTACGGTACGCCTGTATACAGCTCCTAGCTGTTCAATGTGTGATCGTGGTAATCTAACGGTAGCGCGCGGGCAGTTGTACAGATGTGGGGGATGATTGCATTAGGAAGATTGTAAATAATTAAATAAAACTGTCTTTTATTAATTTGATATTTTCAACTACATATCGGATACACATACATGATAATCTATGGAACAATTACCTTTGTTCTTAGTCGAAATATGTGTATTTGGTTCGTCATGTAAACAAAGCCGACAAGTAGATGGATCTACCATATGGGTACTATATTGCATCAATTTTAACACATGTAATAATATACAAGTCTGTACAAGACAAACAAATAATGCCTACGGATTATTTAGATGATATTTGTTCCCAAAAAAAATGAAAAGGTTAATCTTGGTTAAAAAATCTCTGAAGTGAGCAGATTCCAGCAAGGCTACCGGTGTAGTCGCATCATTACAGCACGTGTTTACTCGTGCAAAAATGCATACGAGCGCATTAGGAATATAGATTGCTTACCCACATTACGTTTTAAAGTGAAGCGATGTAAAAAGTATCCTAAGTTGAAGGAGCAATCTACCATTGATTTTGCCTTTTCATAGATTGAACAATGAAATTTGATGTTTGGTCGGTTAGGTGTTTATCGTCTGCAGTGATGATCTGATACAATTACTTGATAATGAATCTGACCTTTAACCTTTCTTTCTCAGAGCCGTATGACTACCCGTCCTGGTGTCTCATCCTTGTGTTCAGCGTACACTCCATTGGGGCGTCCATCTTTATATTCGAATGGCTGAGTCCGTGGGGACTAGATCAAGGCAACACACCTATGCGAGGTAACTACAGGTAAATTAGGGAACAAACAGACCATCCTAAAAAATAACAAAAAAATAAAAAAATGAAATATTGTACAAAAAACTTTGTCCTACGATTTTCTTCTTGGGGAATATTGGTAAAACACTTGACTTTATTTCAAATGTCATGTACGGTCCAAGACATGATGTCCGTCTTGATATTATCAAATGTGTAAGGTGTAATCAGGCATTTATCTTTAAAATATATAGGTATTTGACCAACGTGACATTTTATATAATGAAACAAGCGGTCCTGATACTGTAATAGCCATTGATGACCTCATTCAACGTGTAATATCCAGCAGTCCACAATACGTCACTATGTGGCAGAAACACGCGCCTTCTCATGATTAAAGCTCCTTCTAATAACTACGCTATTACTATTAATTTTAGCTATCATGGTTCTGAACACACACGCAAACGATAATTCTGAAAAGATGACAAACGTTATGAAGAAAACAGTCTCAGATTGATATATAGGACGGTAATATGTTCTAAGTAATTTCGGCCTAGTTCATGGTCCCAAAGATGCCAAACTGCTTAAATAGTCTATATACAGGCTATTAAATAACCACCACTGTATGAGGTCGGCTCGGTGTGGCTGTCCCCAAGGTCCTGGCATAGTCTGGCGTCTAATAGCACATGTCAGCATCTAATTAACCCAGCGCCAATGCTAGCCTTGGTTGTGATCCATTTAGAAAAAAAAGTATCGTCGATTAGTAGATATTATGAAGTAAGGGATCCATCAAGTTCTTTATATTCTTTCGTCATTCTGACTGATACTTAGCACGTAAGCATTGGGTAGACCAATAAACATGTCAATATGTATGTGATGGAATTGGAAATTATACCCTTTACTTTACACTACAGAGCATGCGTTCTCCCTGTTCCGTTCCTTCTGGTTGATATGGGCCATGCTGTTTGGAGCGTCCGTCTCGGCTGACAATCCACGAGGGTGCGCTAGCCGTTTCCTGGCCAACGTGTGGGCACTGTTCGCCCTGGTTTTCCTGGCAAGTTACACAGCTAACTTGGCCGCTTTTATGATCACCAAGGAAGTCTACTATGACCTGTCAGGCATCAAAGACTGGAGGGTGAGCTCTGTCGATACTCCATAGTGTACTTCATCGTGTCCATAGTCTACTGATATACTAGAGAAGGCTAAGCAGGGTCTGTCTATGATAGCAGGTGAATCGTGGACCCGATTGAAAACGAATATCAAAAAATAAATAGCTAGGGAAAAAATAAAAGGTTTTAGCAGACTCATATTTTGCACTATCATCTCTTGCCAACGTATATCATTTATAAATGTGAGATTGTGTCTATTTTTTATTGGTGAAAAATGAAACATGTTAAAAGAAATACTTGTTTTCCATAGTTAACGAATCCACACAGCCACAAACCGCCCTTCAAGTTCGCCACCGTCCCTAATGGGAGTACAGAGGAAAACCTGAGACAGAATCACCCAGAAATGTTCAGCTACATGAAAAAGTACAACCAGCCGTCAGTTCGGGAAGCCGTGAAAGCCTTGAAAAAAGGGTCAGTGACGCTAGTTAATGGCTGTCCCAGACATGCAGCATGTACAGTATGCATGTTGTAGAGGAGGTTTTATAACATGTGCCTAACAAAACCTTACATGTGTCTCCACGAAGGGATTCACTGCTGCGGCGGCGAAGTAGAACAGGCAAACACCTTGTTGTTCCTGTAGTCTCACAGCGTGAAGAC